GTTATCACCTTATCTCCGAGGTTTGTTTACATACCGGTGCATATGTCTATGCCGGTTTAACAGCTCAGTAATGGCGTCGCCACAAGATAGCAGCCTACACAGAACGCTCATCGGATTCGTCTATAGAGAGCCTAAGTCCCTCCCCTTCCGGTCGACCACCATGGGACCTTATTTCGGAAAAATATTGAATGGTAGTCAATGGTGAGAGACAACAAATATTTTGATCTGGTTTGAATTGTGCCCTGAATTACACATATGATGTTTGTCGATTTAAAAGATACATTTTAAAGTAAAGAAAGTCGCAGTTTGATGTAAAACCGTTGAGGTATAAGACTGTGAAAATACATAATTACAAAGACTACAAACCCCAAAGGCGCACATTTTCTCTCAATGAATGAAGCTAACTTTACTGAGGCTAACGTCTGTCATTGTTTCTACAGTCTTATGTTATAATCGTAACGTTACGAGTGTTTTATACCAGACTGCACACACACGAGCAGCGGATCTCGTTTCGCTTCTGGGAGATGTAGTTCACAGAGCGATTTTCACATTAAACTAAATGTTACTCTTCTGTTTTATGACAAACTGAATCAGGATTATCTTTTAAATTGACAAACATCATATGTGTAATTGAGGGCGCAGTTCAGACGGAATAAAAACATAAGTTGTCTCTCTGACTACCATTCATATTTTTTCTGAAATAAGGTCAGATGAGCCGGAAGCGGAGGGGCGGGACTTAGGCTCTCTATAGTTCATGGGGATATGTATTTAATCACGTGAAAATTCTCACCACTAACAACATATATTAGATCTCATTAAACGACAAATTAAACACAATGTACGATTGTATACTATGTAATACGTCACGGTCTCCGTGAGTGCTATTTACGACAGTAACGTTAAAAACAAGTACTCCACAGTTACTCTAGGGGTCGCTGTTTGACAAAAACAGCATTCCTGCCTGGTGTCCCTTAAACAGAGCTTTGCTTAGGGCCCCGGGGACGGCTCTGGGCTGATCTCAGTAATCAAGCGTTCAGTGTGTGTGTGTGTGTGTGTGTGTTCAGCTGCAGTTCCACACGCTTCCACTAGAGGAAATTCTCATTTTAAATGCGCTCGTTTCTGACCGCGAGGAGCACAAGTGTGAATATTGTTACAGGACCATTAAACCTGTTCACATCATGGCCATGATTTTAGAGAGAGAGAGAGAGAGAGAGAGAGAGAGAGAGAGAGAGAGAGAGCGAGCGAGCGAGAGAGAGAGAGAGCGCAGGAATCTGAGTCTGTTTGCCTATTATGATTTGCTTCTGTCTGAAGGTGAAGCACAGAGAGACTCTGTTCTGTTCCCCGGGTCCTCGTTCTCCACACACACACACACACACACACACACACACACACACACACACACACACACACACACACACACACACACACACACACACACACACACACACACTGATAACATTCTGTGTTTCCTTCATTACAGGCGTTCTGTGTTTCTCCATCAGAGACTCGGGAACCTCCTGGAGACTTTTCCTCCTCAGTGTTTACAGCTGGTTCTGTTCACTGTCCTGTGTGTGTGTGTGTGTGTGTGTGTTCTGGGCTCAATGTGTGCTGCTTTATTTGACATCTGAACACACACAATCGCTGCTCTAAGGCATATAGGGCTTTATTAATGATCTCAGTGTACGGCGTAAGTGCACTCAGCGTGTGTCCGGATCCACTTTTGCTAGTTTAACGACGGGACACATTTGCGGCGCTAAAAGGGTCGTTCCTATTCTCTTAATGAGTGATGTGGGCGTAACGGGAAATAAACCAATCAGAGTCTCGTCTCCCATTCCCTTTAAAAACCAGTTGCGCTCGCGTCATGGCGTTTGAATAACGTAAAACACTGCGCCGCTGACTAGCGGATTCACGAACGGCTCAGTGTGTCTCAGTCGCTCCCACAATGCACCTGAACACACACTCGTCTCACACCAGCTGCTCACGGGCCAACACATGCGTTTGCTATTTAACAGCGCAGGACGTGGAGATGATAACTGCGTCGGGCTGACTCTTAACGCCACACGAGTGTGTGTGTGTGTGTGTGCGCAGACATTACAGCCCTCTGCGATCACATGCTCAAAACTGCACTGCGGAAAAGTGTTTCCAAGATGAGGACGATCTCGTGCGATGTTCCTCGGATAAATGCTGCATTAATGTGTGTGTTCATTCAGTGCTCGAAATCAATGATAAAAAATATTTCTAAAGAAATAAATGCACTTTAAAAAAATGTTGTTGTTTTTTAAAGATGTAAATGTAAAGATTAATGCGGTATATTTTATAAGAAGTTAAATTAGTTAAATTAGTAAATCCTGCACTTTTTTCATGCAGAGTTAAGTCAAATAGACTCAATAAGTGTCTTACGAACGCCGATGACTTATGAGCTGCCGTGTGGCGTCAGGAGTTTTTACTGTAAATTTAAGTTAAGACTGTAAAAGCTCAAATGTTGCGACCGTGTTTTTTACGGTAAATTTCTGCCAACCGCAGCTGCCCGTTTTTACCGTAAATTTAACAGTTGTTTTTTTTATAGTGAATTATCGATCTTCCCATCCTCTTCTTCATCTTCAACTTCACAGGCATGTGTGTGTGTGTGTGTGTGTGTGTGTGTGTGTGTGTGTGTGTGTGTGTGTGTGTGTCGTGCTGCTGTAAGTGTGTCTGGCAGGCGTGGGTGTGTATTAATATTAGACGGCCTCCGGAGAGCCTGTCGTATCAGTTATGAAGCGCAGAGATCATGTGGACCGCACACACACACACACACACACACACACACACACACACACACACACACACTCTCCTGCGCTGAGCGGAAAACAACATCCTCGACGCGACAGCAGCTAACGGTTCTGGATCGGGAGATTATTCATGTTTTTAAAAGAGTCTCTTCTGCTCACTAAAGCTGCATTCATTAAACATAAAATAAATACAGTAAAACAGTAAAAAAATGTGTTATTTTATATATAAAGTATTGATATTTCCAAATTATATATATATATATATGAAGAGTTCAGATGCAAAAGCCTCTAAATGCCATTTGAAATTTTCTTCTAGAATGATCATTTTTTATCAAACTTGTATATTTAAGTTCAGTAATTTCACTTAAATGACAATTAATAGGTAATTATCATTGCCATTTAAGTGAAATCACAGAACTTAAATATACAAGCTTGATAAAAATGATCATTCTAGAAGAAAATTTCAAATGGCACTTAGAGGCTTTTGCATCTGAACTCTTCATATATATACATTATACATGCAAATATTTCTTAAATATGTGCATGCATATGTGTGCATTTATATATACAAAATAGTTCTACACAGTACACACACACATAGCCTATATTATGTAAACACAAACTTTTATTTTGTATTTTAGTTGTTCTGCATATCTGACCACAGATTGCCATGTTTGATTAATCCGTATCGAGTATTCCTGAAAGCTGCACCGTTCTTAACTCAATTCTATTAGCCTGTCACGCTTAATGTCGGCCTGTATGTGCTGTCGTGCACTCGATAGGCGTCACCGCGTCAGCTAAACTCCAGCAGGTCATGACCTTCACAGGGAGAAACTTCTCAAATATCTGAGAAATATCGATGCCAGAACATCTCCGTCTGCGCTAATGCTGACTAAGTGCTCACACACTTCATGTGGTTCCCAGTAGATGCTGGTGTCCCACTGGGACGGCACTGGTGTGACTGAAACTCTGCTTTATACATCATTAAACCTCCTCTTCTGGAGCGTCGAGAGCCTGTTTGTGGAAAAACAATAAATAATGAATAATAAATAAATAAATGAAGACCGAGACTAGACAGCCTTCAGATTATTGAAGTGGATGAGGTGTTTTTATATGTCATATTTTATTCAGATGTGTTTCTCGGGAAGTGTCGTGCAGAACTCATGTTGGTTTAGGCTGATGAGGAGATTCACACTCGGGAGAAACACGTTCTGCACACACACACACCTGCAGTATTTACAGAGCGATTTCTGCTCCTCTTTACATCATTCATGTGTTTTATGTGTCAGAATCACACAGTGTTTAACATGCATATTTAAATGAAAGATTTCACTTTGCTCTCAGACGTTTCTCAGAGAAATGGACGAGCTTTAAAATCCAAACCTGAAGTTAAACACACCAACACGACAGAGGCGTTTCTCCACATGAATCTCACACACACCGTTTAATATCTCAGTGTTCGTTCATGGATTAGCTGAGCGCTTATACCGTCGTGTTATCTTACACCAGCCTAAGCTTGATGAGTTATTAGGATTTAGGAAAATTAGGTTGCAACTCTTAAACCCCAGACGACATTAGTTTCATCCTCAGAACTCGTTAATCGCCGGAGCCTGAAGCGGATAGTTTACCGTTTGCATTTCATACGTGCAATGAAGATATTCGTGTTCATGTAGTTGTTCATGTAAAGCTGATTTAATTTCGGCACCACTTGCATTACAAACGTCACTGAACGACACTGGCGGGTCTAAACTCAGAAATAATAAAACACACTTTACATTCGTACATTTAATACATGTTCATAGTTCATAGTGCGTTAACTAATGTTTACAGTTCTGGGAAATGTGACCTAAAAAACAGTCACAAAGGTCAGTTTTTTTAAATTGAGAGAGATACACATCATCTGAACGCTGAGTAAATTACAATATTGAAAATCTGCACAAAAAAAAAACAAAAAAAACTAAACATTGTGAAAATCTCTTTTAAAAATGTCCATTTATGTTCATGATTTCGCTGCATCCACTCACAGAAATATATTTTTATTATATTACTGGTAGGAAATGTACAAAATATCTTCACGGAACTTGGTATCCAATATCCAAATAATTAATAGCAATGATAATACCAAATGATTTTTGTCATATGATTTTGACCCAAGTGTTACCTCAAAGTGTGTATCGTTCAAAAAACATCTTTTGATAGTCCTAAAAACACTGTTATTCAAAACATGTCCTCAGTTATAAGTTTATTAGTATATCAAAACACATCGAACTCGGACATTGGTTACATTGGAGCTTTGAGAGGCTTCCCAGCATGCAACTGTGCGTCTGATGTGTCTAAGCTAAACCAAGAGTTTGGGCTGTCAGTGAACATGTAATAAACCATCGGCCATCATAGATAACAATGAGAAATGAAGAAATGAAACTAAACACCTTGTAATCCCTGTTTACTTTGCTTACATCGCAAATTATTCTGGCAAACACGACATGTAACCAAATCAAGGTCATTCTGGGTCAAGTGTGTTACTCACAGCGGGTCTATAGTTCACCGAGACGGAGGAATGACGGATACACTGCAACACTGCTTTTTGTCTTGTTTCCAGTCCAAATATTTCCAGATATATCCAATTATATATGTATCCAATTTGCCAGTGGGGTAAGAAAAATAATCTTCATTCAAGTGGAAAACAAGATTATTTTTCTTACCCCATTGGCAGATAATTTAGCTTGTTTTAACCCCCCACATATTTTTCAGATATTTGGACTGGAAACAAGACAATAATACTGCGTAAGAGCATCACGTTTGTGCAGTGTACTGCCTGCTGGGCTGTTGTTGAGGATGTCTGAGGTCACGGAGGATCACACGAGGCCCATGACGCGGGCGGCCCACCATCGGCAGGGCATGATGACCCGGCACACCGGCCGGCACCCGTGGTAGTTGTAGGGCCAGGGCCAGTAGCCTCCGTGCGGCTCACACACACGCTCGCAGTGTGTGTAACTGCGGTGACATTCGGTACAGCAGATCCCACGGTGGTCCAGCATCGGATCGAACACCATGTGGCCTTCAGAACCCTCCTGATTCTGCTGGAGAGACCAGATCAAGCACACGTGAGCCAGCCACCATAATAATTTAAAACCATACTTCCGTCTAGGACTACAGGAGATGATATTGTTGTGTTGCGGTTTTGTTAAGTGGCCCGGGGTCTACGTTTCTGAAAGAGTCTCTTCTGCTCACATAGACTGGGTTTGTTTGGTCAAAAATACAGGAAAAATTGTGAAATATTATTACAATGTAAAATAATGGTTTTCTAAGTAAATATATAGTAAAGTGTAATTTATTCATGTGATCAAAGCTGAATTTATAAAAAAATACAGTAAAAATTGTGAAATATTATAACAATAATGGTTTTCTAAGTGAATATATAGTAAAGTGTAATTTATTCCTGTAATCAAAGCTGAATTTATTAAAAAAAAATTCAGTAAAAATTGTGAAATATTATAACAATGTAAAATAATGGTTTTCTAAGTGAATATATAGTAAAGTGTAATTTATTCCTGTGATCAAAGCTGAATTTATTTTAATAAAAAATACAGTAAAAATTGTAAAATATTATCATTATGTAAAATAACGGTTTTCTAAGTAAATATATTGTCAAGTGTAATTTATTCCTGTAATCAAAGCTGAATTTATAAAAAAAATACAGTAAAAATTGTGAAATATTATAACAATGTAAAATAATGGTTTTCTAAGTGAATATATAGTAAAGTGTAATTTATTCCTGTGATTAAAGCTAAATTTATTTTAATTAAAAATACAGTAAAAATTGTAAATATTATCATTATGTAAAATAACGGTTTTCTAAGTAAATATATTGTAAAGTGTAATTTATTCCTCTGATCAAAGCTGAATTTATTAAAAACAATACAGTAAAAATCGTGAAATATAACAATGTAAAATAATGGAATAATTATGAAATATAATAACAATGTTAAATAATTCTATGAAACATCTAAGTGAATATAAAGTAAAGTATAATTTATTCCTGTGATCAAAGCTGAATTTATTAAAAACAATACTGTAAAAATTGTGAAATATTATACCAATGTAAAATAATGGTTTTCTAAGTGAATATAAAGTGTAATTTATTCATGTGATCAAAGCTGAATTTTTATCATCAAAAATACAGTAAAAATTGTGAAATATTATAACAATGTAAAATAACAGTTTTCTATGTGAATATATTGTAAAGTGTAATTTATTCCTGTGATCAAAGCATAATTTTTCTGATCAAAAATACAGTAAAAATTGTGAAATATTATTAGAATGTAAAACAGCTGTTTTTCTTATTATTATCAATGTGGAAATGATTGTTAATGTTGGCATTGCTCACGTGATAAGGGTTCTCCGGGTTATACTCGGGCCGCTCGTCCTCTCTCACTGAACTCGTGGAGTTTCGACGTCTCGTTTGCTGCCGGTTTACTCCTGTATTCTGTCGTCTCACTCGCGTCACACTTCTCCTCTTCCTCAGTGCTTCAGAAGCCGAGACCGAGAACAGAGATGAGCATTAAAGAAAGCGGCGTTTCTAAGCTTTAGATGGCGGAACTGCATTCAGGGCTTCTGATTTGCCTTAAATATCCTCTGGGATCGCTGTGTTTGTGTCTGTAAACATGTTTATGTGCTTTGAGAGGCTCATGGCTCACACTAAACTATCAATCGTACAATATAAAGGTTAATACTTTCATCATAGTAATGTGTGTGTTGCAGGTTTATTTGGTAGTATGAAGTACCTCTGGAGTTTGCCGGATGATGCCAGTAAATGGGAAGATCTCCACAGAATCTGAGTATTTCAGCGCTCAGGAAACTGCTGTCCTTCAGCGGCTCGTCCGACGCCATCCACACCAGAGACGCCACCTCAGGTTTCACCGCAACATTGGCTTCCTCCTATCATTACAACATAACACTGAACACTAGAACTTCTGCCTCATCCTGGCTTAAAGGCATATATTTATATATACATGTGTGTGTGTGTGTGTGTGTGTGTGTGTGTACAGTAGTCAACATTTGAAGTGGATCAAAACCTTTCATCAAAGTTATACATGAATTTTAATCAATACCGTTCTTGTCTTAGGACAACTTTGATGAACTTTTTTGATACACTTCAAATGTTCAAAACTGTATATATAGAGAGATTCCAGATCCCACCCTGCTTGAGTTGGAAAGGTAATGAGCGGACCTGAAATGTAGGGGGCGTGTCGAAAGTTAGTGGGCTTGTTTGAAGATTAGGGGGCGTGTTTGAAAGGTAGGGGGCATGTTTGAAGATTAGGGGGCATGTTTGAAAGGTAGGGGGCGTGTTGAAGATTAGGGGGCATGTTTGAAAGGTAGGGGGCGTGTTGAAGATTAGGGGGCATGTTTGAAAGGTAGGGGGCGTGTTGAAGATTAGGGGGCATGTTTGAAAGGTAGGGGGCGTGTTGAAGATTAGGGGGCATGTTTGAAAGGTAGGGGGCGTGTTGAAGATTAGGGGGCATGTTTGAAAGGTAGGGGGCGTGTTGAACGTTAGAGGGCTTGTTTGAAGTTTAGGGGGCGTGTTTGAAAGGTAGGGGGCGTGTTGAAGATTAGGGGGCATGTTTGAAAGGTAGGGGGCGTGTTGAAGTTTAGGGGGCGTGTTTGAAAGGTAGGGGGCGTGTTGAAGATTAGGGGGCATGTTTGAAAGGTAGGGGGCGTGTTGAAGATTAGGGGGCATGTTTGAAAGGTAGGGGGCGTGTTGAAGATTAGGGGGCATGTTTGAAAGGTAGGGGGCGTGTTGAACGTTAGAGGGCTTGTTTGAAGTTTAGGGGGCGTGTTTGAAAGGTAGGGGGCGTGTTGAAGATTAGGGGGCATGTTTGAAAGGTAGGGGCGTGTTGACGATTAGGGGGCGTGTTTGAAAGGTAGGGGGCGTGTTGAAGATTAGGGGGCGTGTTTGAAATGTAGGGGGCGTGTCGAAAGTTAGTGGGCTTGTTTGAAGTTTAGGGGGCGTGTTTGAAAGGTAGGGGGCATGTTGAAGATTAGGGGGCATGTTTGAAAGGTAGGGGGCGTGTTGAAGATTAGGGGGCGTGTTTGAAAGGTAGGGGGCGTGTTGAAGGTTAGGGGGCATGTTTGAAGTTTAGGGGGCGTGTTTGAAAGGTAGGGGGCATATTGAAGATTAGGGGGCGTGTTTGAAAGGTAGGGGGCGTGTCGAAAGTTAGTAGGCTTGTTTGAAGTTTAGGGGGCGTGTTTGAAAGGTAGGGGGCGTGTTGAAGATTAGGGGGCGTGTTTGAATGGTAGGGGGTGTGTTGAACGTTAGTGGGCTTGTTTGAAGTTTAGGGGGCGTGTTTGAAAGGTAGGGGGCGTGTTGAAGATTAGGGGGCGTGTTTGAATGGTAGGGGGTGTGTTGAACGTTAGTGGGCTTGTTTGAAGTTTAGGGGGCGTGTTTGAAATGTAGGGGGCGTGTCGAACGTTAGTGGGCTTGTTTGAAGTTTAGGGGGCGTGTTTGAAGTTTAGGGGGCGTGTTGAATTTTAGTGGGCTTGTTTGAAGGTTAGGGGGCATGTTTGAAAGGTAGGGGGCGTGTTGGGCGGCAGTGGCTCAGTGGTTCATGTGGGTTGTCTACGAACCGGAAGGTTGGTGGTTCAATCCTCGGTTCCACCTGACCAAGTGTCGAGGTGTCCATGAGCAAGACACCTAACCCCAGCTGCTCCCGACGAGCTGGCTGGCGCCTTGCATGGCTGACACCGCCGTCGGTGTATGAATGAGTGTATGAATGGGTGAATGTGAGGCAAATGTAAAGCGCTTTGGTGGCCATTAGGTCTATGAAGGCGCTATATAAATGCAGTCCATTTACCATTTGAAGATTAGGGGGCGTGTTTGAAAGGAAGGGATGTGTCAAGAGTTAGTGGGCGTGCCGAAAGGAAATGGGCATGTCAAAAGGTAGTGGGCATGCCTGAAAAGTTGTGGGTGTGTTAAAAGGTAATGAGAGTGTAATAGGGGGGATGGGAGGGGGGGCTGAAAGGTAGTGGGTGTGTCAAACATTTGGGGGCGTGTCTGAAATGTAGGGGGCATGTCGAACATTAGTGGGCGTGTTGAACATTAGTGGGTGTCTCTGAAAAGTAAGGGGCGGGCTAAAGGTAGGGGGCGTTTTAAATGTTAGTGGGCGTGTCTGAAAGGAAGTGTCTGAAAGGTGGGGGTGTGTCTGAAAAGCAGGGGGCGTGTCAAATGTTAGTGGGCGTGTCTGAAATGAAGGGGCGTGTGAAGAGTTAGTGGGCGTGTCTATAATGTAGGGGTGTGCTAAAAGATCTTTGCAATTGGTTGTGAAAGCTGCCTGTTAGGGTGTGGGCGGGGCTAGGCATTGTTTACGCCCATTTCTGACCCTGTTTTAGAATAAACAGAATTATAGTGTTGTGTTGGTGTAGACACTAATAGTTATCGTTATAGTTATAGTTATTGTCCGTTATTAAGCATGATGAAGATGTAGAGTAATTTCTGCATGATTATTTTTAGACATTTCAATTTCATTAAAGTGAAATACAAGTGATACTGTCAAGATAGCCACTAAACGTGCAGAGAAACGGATGGCTGTTACAGTAATGACTGATAAATTGGACACATAGTGATGATAATGGCGGTTCTCACCTCAGAAAGTTCAGATCTGACTTGTGATTTGATGTAACACTTCTCTTTTCCAGGGAACTTGACCGCCGTAATGCCCTGTGAATGAGGCCGGGAGACGGCTGTCAGTCGGTGAACAGCTCTGCCGTGATCAACAGGTTTGTTATGTGTTACTCACAGCTTTATAGTCTCGGACTTCCACAAGTTTGTCGTCTCCGGCGTCAGAGAGATCTTCGGTCGTCTTGATGTCGATGTTCCGGCTGTAGTGAGCGCTGATCGCCTGTCGACACACACATGCTCCGCTGTAAAAACCCTTGGGTTGATTTTGGACCCAACCGTTGGGTTACACATTTTGGGTCGCTATGTTGGGTTATATTCCGAAAATGTCGGGTCATTTTAAAATCGTTGGGTAATTTCTAGTAATAACCCAGCTGTTGGGTTAAACTCGTATATTGTATGTACACTTGCGTATTTTGAATTTATTCACTCAATTATGTATATTTACATTAAATTCTAGACTCCCCAATATTTAGTTTTTTAATTAAAAAAAACATATTTGTTGAGACATTTTTATTTTTTTAAACAAATAAACAATCTGTATTTGAACAACAAAGTGTATTTTATTTATTAAAAATAATGTCAAGAATAAAAATAAATAGTTACCTTAACTGTTTAACCCACTGGCTTTTAACCCAATGCATTGGGAAGGTGCATTATTGCATAAATTAAAGTGTCATTTATTCCTGTGATCAAAGCTGAATTTATTAAAAAAAATATATATACAGTAAAAATTGTGAAATATTATTAGAATGTAAAATAACAGTTTTCTAAGTTATTATATTTTAAAGTGTAATTTATTCCTGTGATCAAAGCTGGATTTATTTTTTTTTAAAATACAGAAAAATTTGTGAAATATTATTAGAATGTAAAATAACAGTTTTCTATGTGAATATATAGTAAAGTGTAATTTATTCCTGTGATCAAAGCTGAATTTATTAAAATAAAATACACTAAAAATTGTGAAATATTATTAGAATGTAAAATGACAGTTTTCTATGTGAATATATAGTAAAGTGTAATTTATTCCTGTGATCAAAGCTGAATTTATGCGATTAAAAATACAGTAATTTTTAAAAATATTATTAAAAATATATATTATAAAAAATATTATATTATTTAAAAAAATATATTATTATTATTAATAAAATTTAATTAAAAAATATATATTTGTTGAGACATATTTATTGTTTTAAACAAAAAAACAATCTGTATTTGAACAACAAAGTGTATTTTATTCTTTAAAATAATGTCAAGAATAAAAATAAATAGTTACCTTAACTGTTTAACCCAATGCATTGGGAAGGTGCTATACCACCCTATAGTTGGGTTACTCGTTCGTTGGGTTATTTTTAAGTGTAGTTGTCAAAGGGAAAAGGAAAATCTTCCAAATTGTGTTACTGGCTAAATGTATAATAATAGCTATAATAATGTGTGACATGCTTTCTTTTGTACATTAAACAGTTTTTGCCTGAGGCAAACCTAATTAAGCTTTCATCCATATAAAGCACACAATATTCCTGTATGTTTAGTGCTCGACGTCTGCCTGGTCGTGTGTGTTTCTGTGAGGAAGCGGTGCCTGCTGTGTGTGTGTGTGCGCTGTTAACACTGCGGGATTATAACCCAGCACACACACACCTCTTTGTTTGCCAAATTCCAGAGGTCCTGAAATCAATGCACTCTATTGATCCAGCCGGACACTTTCCCGAGACAAACTGCAATCTAAATATTTCCACTTCAGCCTGAAACTCACTGCATGTGCGCTTTCAATATCGCCACGTCTGCACTTTTGCATCCACTGGGGCAAAGTGGCATTCTGGGTGATTACGCAACGTGGAATATTGGAAATCTAGCAGTGTTACAGAATCCCCCGCGACCGCATGCGTGCAGATTAAACACAAAACACGGAACAATTTGCTGGACATCATGAAGAACAAAATGTGTTGATGGTTCCACATCTGTGTTTCGACAGCAAACTCTGTCACTGATTTACTTCATCAGGTTCTGCTTTGATTTGCCTTCAAACGTCAATGGAGCAGAATTTGACAGACACTCGCAAAAGTGATATTTCTGTGCACTTATTTTGAGCTCGGCTTTGCTAGTGCGGGATCGTCCACCTACTTCTTTTTCTGTGACTTTCCACAGGTAAAAACCTCCAACGCCTCCGAACAGCAGAAGAGTGGCTCCTGCGATGAAGACGAAGACCACGGTCCTCCTGAGGCGCAGAAACCCTCCAGGCTTCAAGCTCACGTCACCGTAAGCCTGATCCAACACACACACACACACACACAGATGAAGAATAATAGAGTTATGATAGAGATAGAGATACGGGGAAGCTGGTTTACCTCGGCCGGCGCGTGTGCTGCTGTCTCCTCCATGGTGTTCTCGCGTCCTCTGAAAGCAAAGCTTTGTGACTTTCTGCAGCTCCTCTCGAGTGTCTGTCATCTAGGTGAGAGAGAAGAAAACTCAGGGAAAGTCAACAAGATCCCGGAGAAACTCAAGACTGGAATTCCTCTCCAGGGATTTTCTGTGGCTTGAGAAAACATTCGACTGAGACTCGATTTGGGCCATTCATGCGCATTTTAAACGAACCCGTGCACTGACCGGCCTGAGTTCACTTTACTAGATCTACTGGAGATGCTTTCAACAAAGTTAAGTAATGTGCTTCAGCTTTAGTTAGATCTGATCTCATTCATTCATTCCCATGACCATTGTGCATGATAGAAATATAGTTAACGTATTAATGCTGAATATTAAACATGTATAGCAGTGCTGCAGAATTCCCCTTATGACTATATGCATGCAAATTAAACCCAAAACACAGAACAATTTGCTGCACATCAAGAAGAACAAATAGTCCACGGTACAAACGTTCTCGTGGTTACACGGCAGCCAGCGTCTTTATTTCCATCCGTTTAACTCGATTTCGCTGTAAAATCACGGGAGGCTTTTAAAAAGGGCATTTTTTATTTCAACTCGGCAAAGTCAAATAATATTCCTCAGTTTTACTAGGGTTAGATATGATCTTATTTATGCATCAGAAGTCATTCTCATCACGACTATTTGCTTGTTAGAAGAATGACGTGTGCGATTTCTTTGCGAGTTTCATGTGGATTAAGTGGATGTTTATTGGATGTTGATTGTTGTAAACATAGATACAGTCTTGCAAGAAAAATTCAGACTTGTCTGATAATAAAGTATTATATCACATCACATCAATAATCAGAAATTGCATATATGGGATCGATGAAAGCATGACACAAATGAGAACTCTTATATTTGAGCTTTGTCTGGATTTCTGCTCTTTCTGGACATTCATCCGGCGAAAGAGGAACGAGACTTTCACTTTATCTGGCAAACTTCAACTTTTTTAACATAATGCCATTTGAAAATCTATGACAAAACTGTATTGTCATAGATTTTCAAAAGGTTTATAAGATCATAAATACTTTTCACTGGTTTCATCAAGGATACACAACACTGTTGATTTGATCATAACTTATTTTATTCATCATGTTTTTTAAGTAAATGTTATAAAAGTACTAACATTTGCAGCTTTAAAAAATCACATTTCATGTGCTACAGTGCGACCAAAGTGACGTTATACACAATCACATTATAATCATCCAAAACATGCATGAGACAAAACAGGTAATATTGTTAAAAAATATATATGTTGTATGTACAAAACACCAATGCAGTCAAAGATAAAGTATGTACAGCAAATTTGACTTTTTTTTATCCTGTAATTCTGAGTTTATATCTCAACATTTGGACTTTTTGTCACGAGGATGAGGTTCTGCCTCAGGCTGAGTCTGTGAATCTGGCGGGACTGTGTGTGTTGATGGGTTTGGTGGAGTGTGTGTGTGTGTCCTCAGTGTCTCGTCTCCTCTGGGACTGTGAATCTGTGTGTGTGATGGGTTTGGTGGAGTGTGTGAACAGGTGTGTGTCCTCAGCGTCTCGTCTCTGTCTCTGAGACTGTGGAGAGCAGATGTGTATGTAATCGCACTGACTCTGCTGGTCTCCTGTGAGGCTGTGTAAGGCCACGCTCCTGGGCGTGTGTGTGTCCGAGCTCCTGGGCGTGTGTGTGTCCGAGCCTCTGGGGGTGTGTGTGTCCGAGGTCCTGGGCGTGTGTGTGTCGGAGCTCCTGGGCGTGTGTGTGTCGGAGCTCCTGGGCGTGTGTGTGTCCGAGCCTCTGGGGGTGTGTGTGTCCGAGGTCCTGGGCGTGTGTGTGTCGGAGCTCCTGGGTGTGTGTGTGTCGGAGCTCCTGGGTGTGTGTGTGTCGGAGCTCCTGGGCGTGTGTGTGTCGGAGCTCCTGGGCGTGTGTGTGTCCGAGCCTCTGGGGGTGTGTGTGTCCGAGGTCCTGGTCCTCGTGAAGGTGGAGAGGTGCCTCATGTTCCCGCTGGTTCTGCTGGCCGACGGGCTCCAGCACCGGTCCGAGTGGCCCAGGATCCTGCATTCACTGGTACAGGCCCACAGACCTGGGAAAACAGCGTTCGGCACTGATTACTACACTTCTAGTCAAGCTTTACACAGATCAACGGGAGAATAACAGAATCAATGATGCAAACATCTATTATGAGGCACATTCAGAAGCTGCTCTACAGTAGACAATAATCTTTATTCAGATCAGTTTTAGTTCAGGTTGAACCGCCATTTTCTCAGAATTGTGAGTTTAAATATTGGATAATATTATTATATTATATAAGATATATTCTCAGGATTACGTGAAAAATGTCAGAAGAATATCAAAATTGTGAGATGTAAACTTAGAATCCAGGGAAGAATATCAAAATTGTGAGATGTAAACTTAGAATCCAGGAAAAAATATCAAAATTGTGAGATGTAAACTTAGAATTCAGGAAAAAATATCAAAATTGTGAGATGTAAACTTAGAATTCAGGAAAAAATATCAAAATTGTGAGATGTAAACTTAGAATTCAGGGAAAAATATAAAAATTGTGAGATGTAAACTTAGAATTCAGGAAAAAATATCAAAATTGTGAGATGTAAACTTAGAATTCAGGAAAAAATATCAAAATTGCGAGATGTAAACTTAGACTTCAGGAAAAAAACTAAATTGCGAGATGTAAATTTAGAATTCAGGGACAAATATCAAAATTGTGAGATGTAAACTTAGAATTCAGGAAAAAATATCAAAATTGTGAGATGTAAACTTAGAATTCAGGGAAAAATATCAAAATTGTGAGATGTAAACTTAGAATTCAGGAAAAAATATCAAAATTTTGAGATGTAAACTTAGACTTCAGGAAAAAATATCAAAATTGCGAGATGTAAACTTAGAATTCAGGGAAAAATATCAAAATTGTGAGATGTAAACTTAGAATTCATGAAAAAATATCAGAATTGTGAGATGTAAACTTAGAATTCAGGGAAGAATATCAAAATTGTGAGATGTAAACTTAGAATTCAGGAAAAAATATCAAAATTGTGAGATGTAAACTTAGACTTCAGTAAAAAATATCAAAATTGTGAGATGTAAACTTAGAATTCAGGAAAAAATATCAAAATTGAGAGATGTAAACTTAGAATTCAGGGAAAAATATCAAAATTGCGAGATGTAAACTTAGAATTCAGGAAAAAATATCAGAATTGTGAGATGTAAACTTAGAATTCAGGAAAAAATATCAAAATTGTGAGATGTAAACTTAGAATTCAGGGAAGAATATCAAAATTGTGAGATGTAAACTTAGAATTCAGGAAAAAATATCAAAATTATGAGATGTAAACTTAGAATTCAGGAAAAAATATCAAAATTGTGAGATGTAAACTTAGAATTCAGGAAAAAAACTAAATTGCGAGATGTAAACTTAGAATTCAGGAAAAAATATCAAAAACCGGACAATTTCATGAATTCATAAACCCCCCTGGACGCCCCGGATAGTACGTAAAAAAGTGGACATGTCCGGGCAAAAGAGGACGTTTGGTTTTTATTTAGGGGCTGAAATAAGCTTCCATACACCAGTGCCATCAGAGTCCTGACTCTCCGCGTGCTCAGGTGTGTGTGACGCAGCATAAACACACACTCTTCAGCTGTACCAGTGCCAGTGTGACGCTCACACTCTGTTTCCCCGCGGATAACAAGGTTGCTCTAGGAACAAACTGACCTTGACGTGAACCAATCCAATCAGCATCTCATTAACTGAGCGTCTCTGTGTCACTGCAAGCTGACTCATCGTTAGCCTGACGAATCCATACGACACCTCATCAACTCGTACAGGCAAACCACAGATCGCTCACACACCAGATATAACTTTTGATATGTTTCCACTAGTGTGTCTATAGTTAATTTCTGTGAGTGAGTAAACTGTGACATATTATACACAATAACTCTTCATACAGTGACTACAGTGACATTAATAAACTATAACGACTCCTCCACTTTGAGCTGAAGTGTGTTTTCTGTAATCGCTAATGCTCTTTTACACACACACACTGAACAACATGAAGCATTGCTTGGTCACTGGTTGAGCTAAACTGGTATTATCTAATTGTGTAGTTCAATTTAACAGCTGACAGATATTCAACATAATTCATGTGTGAGAGTCCAACAGAAGGACGGACAAAACCAGTCAGATATCCACTGAGTTCTGCTCAGATTCACAACTATAGCCAATACACTGATGATGTGAGAAATGATGGAGGTGTGTGAATAAATTGTGGTTTAACTGTAAATACTGTATATTTGCGTGTGTGTGAGTGTGTGTCACCTTTATACGAGGTGTAGTCCTTCTTGAGTCCTTCACTGATGTCAGAATCGCTGTCATTGACGTCACTGTCTCCTTTCCCGCTGTCTTTCCCGCTGATCTGAGGATCTCTGACGGCGATGGTCATCATGGAATTTCCCTTCCACACTGTGATTGGCCGAGCGCCGTCCCTGCCGTATCCCGGGAGAGTGGAGTATCCCTGCGGACACACGGGGCAGCGGATCATCATCGAGAGCCGGAGGAACAATCACAGGGTTCTGCTTCTACACTAACGGTTTATGCGTTCACACTGAGCTCTTCATGCAGTGTTCAGCGTCGGTACTCTACATCTGCTCAGGCATCACACGCAAGTCTCCGACGGGTCTCTCTCACTTTATGTTTGCATCCCATTAGCCTTTTTATTTGCAATAAAAAAGACAGCTTAAGACTTTTTATCCTGAAATACTGAGTTTATATCTCACAATTTGGACTTTTCCCCAGAAATTACAAGATATAGACAGAATTCTGGTAAAAACGTCAAAATTGTAAGATGTAAACTTGCGAGAAAAATGGAGTTTTAAAGTTAAGCCCAATTTATACTTCTGCGTTGAACTCACGCCGTAGCTACGCCGTAGGCTGTGTGTAGCACGCGTACCCTTCGGCGTACCTCTCCAAAATTGTAACAACGCGTCAATTCTACGCGTACCGCAAGCGCTGTGATTGGTCTGCTAGAACCCCTCCCTTGGGTTTCACAGGCTCCCTCAGCAATTGAGCATCAACGCAGACAACGTATAGTCTATAGCGTAGAGGCTCCGCCGTAGGTCCGACGCAGAAGCATAAATCAGCCTTAGCTAGCCTGGGTTTCCCCATTCTGCCTTGCCAGGATTTTATTTGCGCTGCTAAGCAGTCTGGATACCATGAACCAAATTTTCCCCTGAAATAGGGAACCAATCACAGAACGGGGAGGGAGCACAGGCGCATTTGATAGACATTCGTAGCAGCCAATAATACGGCTCTGGGCATTCATAAACCACGCCTCAAATACGAGAAAATGAACATGTGGTTTCCACGTATCATTGAGAATAAAACGTCAAACGTTAGCCAGGCTAGCCTTAAGCAGTTCTATTCTAGAATTCTAGAGTAGAAATGATCAGACACTATCACTCATTACTTTTGACTGATAGTGTACATTAGATGCACATTAGACACACTCTCTCTCTCTCTCTCCCACACACACACTTACATCAATGTCCCCCACCACGCTCCTGTAGGAGCTCTTGAAGGTGTGTGTGGTGTCGGTGAACACTTCCCCGGTCACCTGAACACTGTTGTGGAGTTTCTCCGGAGAGCCGGAGTGAAGCACGTGTGTGTGAGTGTGTGTGTCGAACACACTCGGGGTCCGGTTGGAGATGATAGAGACGGTGTTGGTGTCAGTCGCGTATGGAACATCCACCGAGTGTGGGAGATCAGCGCATCGCTTCTGAACGTTTTTGCGACTTTTACACAGTAGATATGACAAAACCGCCAGAAACAGCAGCGAGGAGCTCGTGAGGCCCGAGATCAGAACCAGCGTCCACTGATCCGGTCCACCATCCTCCCGCTCCTCGTAGAAGTTCCCGTTGGCGGGCGTGGACTCGGTTAGGGTGAAGTGAACGGTGGCCGTCGAGGTCTGCGCCGGGTGACCGTTATCGTTAACCGTCACTACGACTCTCCACATGTCGAACTCATCGTAAGAGATTTTGCGACTTATATATATTTCTCCAGTATTCGGATCAATCGCGAAACCGACATCCCCTCCGTCGTAAAGTTTATAAGTGAGTTCTGCGTTCAGACCGGCGTCTGGGTCTTTAGCGGTGATTCGGGTCACGATGTACCCGACCGGCGCGTCTCTGGGCAGCGCAATCTCCGCGGATCCGTTATTGAGAAGCGGTGGCTGCGTTATAACCGGCGCGTTGTCGTTCTGATCAACTATATTGATTACGAGAACGGCGTTGTTGTGTAGCTGCGGCCATCCTCTGTCGCTCGCGTGCACACGCAGATCCAGCCTCTGCGTCACCTCGTGATTGAAGCTTTGCAGCGCATACACGTTTCCCGCTTGATTCATGATGGCGAACCGGGAAACGGTATTCGTGTCCGCGTCGAGAAGCTCGTAGGTTATTTCCCCGTTCAACCCGGAATCCTGATCGCTGGCCAGAATCGTTGTGATGTACGTTCCTGGAAGTTGATTCTCCTCAATGAAACCTTCGTATATCTTAGCACTGAATACCGGCGCATTATCGTTGACATCCGTAAGCCGTATAATGTAATGAGTAACGGTGCGTAGCGGCGGAACGCCAAAGTCCTCCGCCACTACGGTTAGATTATACTCCGCAATCTGTTCCCGATCCAAAGGTGCCATCGTGACGATCGTGTAGCTTCCCTCATACGCGCGTTTGAGCCGAAAGTTCCCGTGTCCACCGTTCAGAGAGCAGCTGACCTGCGCGTTCACGCCGCTGTCCCGGTCTTTAATGCTAATCAGAGCCACTAGAATATCTGTACCTGTGGCTTCACTGATGCACGCGACCCCGTCGGTAACCGTCGCGATGGACGTGAGGATGATATCCGGAGGGTTATCGTTCACATCTCGGATGTTAATGATGATTTTACACACTGACGGAACCGGATTGTTCCCTAAATCACTTGCTTGCACGTCGATTTCATACACCGTTTCATCTTCGTAGTCCACAGGGCTTTGTAAAGTTAAATATCCAGTGTTATAATCCAATTTAAACAGCTTTCTGATCTTTGTTGGGACTTGTTTGCCAAATTCATACACAACTTGTCCGTTTAGACCCTCATCCGGGTCTTCCGCGTTGAGATTTAGAAGTAGGGATTCGGGAACGCTGTCCTCTGGTACATCCACGGTGTAACGGCTGAGCTCAAACCGCGGGCTGTTGTCGTTTGAATCCTTCACTTTGACGGTTACGTTAGTCGCGCCAGTTCTCTGAGGATTCCCGCCGTCTGCCGCGACGAGTTTAAGCGCGTAAAAAGCGCGGGATTCTCGATCCAGCGGTTTGACGAGCACAAGCTCCGCATATTTAACTCCATCAACGCGCGTTATGACTTCAACGCTGAAGTGCGTGTTTTCACTCAGGTCGTAGCGTTGGATTGAGTTCGATCCCACATCCGCGTCCTCGGCGGCGTCCAACGCGACGCGCGTTCCCAGCGGCGCGCTCTCGGAGATCTCCACCGTGCACTCCGCGCGCGGGAACACTGGAGAGTTGTCGTTCACGTCCAGCACTTCCACCTCAACGTGAAACAGCTCGAACTGCGCGGCGGACACGAACGCGACATCAAACGCGATGACGCAGCGCGGGTTGCGCTTGCAGACGCGCTCGCGATCGATGCGCTCCTCGAGCGTCAGCCGCCCGTCGCTCTCCCGGAACCGGAGGAAGGAGCCAGTGGACGGGCTCATCAGCTTGAAGCGGACCCCGGGGCTCCGGCTCGCGTTGCCGGAGAGAGTCCCGATGAGGGTCGGCGGCAGAAGCTCCTCGCGGATCTGAAACCGCACGGTCCGCTCCTCACACACACACACCGGCGCCGAGACCCAAAGCAGAAGCGCCGTGACTCCGAGGATCCGCGCGAGCTCCATCACCACCAGCATCACCTGCGAGTCTGACAGTCTGAAGCGCGAGTCACTTTCCCTCCCGCGACTCTCTCTCTCTCTCTCTCTCTCTCTCTCTCTCTCACACACACACACACACTCTCTCTCCTCTCCATCATCTACACCTGCGCGTCTGAGAGTCTTGAGCTGAAACGCCTCCCGCGACACACACACACACACACACACCAGTGACATTTACAGTTCACACGAATGATCAACGCACCTTCGCACAGACGGAACGGGCGCAGTGTTCGATGCTTTATAATGGAACGAAGGAATATTCAGCAGGACTGTGTGTGTGTGTGTGTGTGTGTGTGTGTGTGTGTGTGTGTGTGTGTGAGAGAGAGAGAGAGAGAGAGAGCGGAGACAGGACAAAGAGAAAGAGAGAAAGACCTTCGCTTTCTTTTCTCCTGCATATTCATCGTTTGCCATTGTTATTATGGCATGTAGGAAATATTATGAGAAAATGCAAATAATATTAACATGATGTAAATGGTGCATATATAACCTAAACTCTTCTTAAAAAACAGGTTCCAGAAGGGTGTTTTATTTCAGTGATGTAAAACCTTTGGATGATCCGTTCTTGAAAGAACCATTTTTTCTTAATAGTCTCTGGAAGCTTTTAAAGGTTCTTCATCACTGCCAATAAAGATGCTTTAGTTTTAAGAGTGCATAGAATTTGACCTCCAGATGTGCTCAGAATAGAATTGTCTGACATTTCTGTCCTCCACGAGACTGTTGATTTCCAGCATTCTGGATGATTTCCTGCAATACAACGAGACATTTAAAGGAAAACGTGTAAATTGCTCTGCAATGTGACCGTCCACATAATAAACCGTTCATGATGAATTATTCATGTGGATAGAAATGCTATTTTCATATATTACTATGATATTAAAAATGACAGGACTTATATCAAATTATTATAGGCCTACAGTAACACTAACACTTGTCTAATGCATTATAAAGGTATTCATGTACATTATAATGCATTATATCTTTTCATAAGTAACAAATCGAAGTTAAAATGAATTATAATATTTGCAGACTGTTTTAGAGCTGTGAATGTGAAACAATAATTATTAAAATTTATTGTAAGTGTAGTTACAACTATTTATGAGTCAAATACATCATAATTCATGCATTCAAAATACCTTTATAATGCATTTCATCCGATGCTCGTGTCTTTCTGTACGAGCGCAACACAGTGAGTGGCCTCGTAGGGCAGCGAAGCAAGTGCATTCTGGGAGTTGTGCGGCGGACACGAACGTCGCGGTCACAGTGACGTAACGACGTCATTCGCTGGGCGATCTATTCAGTGGAAAAGAAGCAAGTTGAACCAACTCCGAACCAACTTTGAACCAGCACCAGTTTCGAACCAGTTATTTTTGGTGGAAAAGGAGTAAAAGTAGTTTAAAGGAATTCGGGACTGGTGCAATAACTGACATTAACTCAATTGTTAGACAACACGTGTCAGGACCCACTCATTGTCTAATCATCCTCTAGATCTCATATTATCACATAGGGATAGATGTTGATGCCGTTCTGCAGCAGAGCGACGACATCTCAGATCACTATAGTGTCATGTAAACTTCACTTAGCCAAAGCCGACTCCGTGTTATAAATATGTTAGACCTCTGACCTCTGCCACTAAAGATTGCTTTATCAATAATCTTCCTGATCAGTTTCATCATCTCAGCATCCCGGATAGCTCAGAAGAACTCGATACGGTGACAGAAACTTTTAACTCTCTCTTTTCCAGCACTTTAGACGCATGTTGTGCTTAAAGAAGATTACACACACACACACACACACACACTCAGCCCCTAAAGAGTGCAGTTAGAACAATGGAGCGAAACTGGAAGAAAACAAAACTAGAGGTATTTCACAGCCAACGATATTACTGAGCATACACTTTTTACTCAAATATAAAACACTTCATGTTTCGAAGACACTGGTAAAGAATTTGTAATGTACTTGTAACACAAACAAAGTACACTTTAATATCACTAATCAAGCATGTAATTAGTCCACACACAGGCGTATACTTCCAATACTTCCAAAGTTTTTCCAATTTAGTACACATTAAATACACTTAAAGTTATGCTTTACTCCAATTTAATTACATCTAAAATATACTTAGTACAAAATTAGTTATTTCAAAATAGCACACTTCAAGTTAACTAATCATCAACACACTTTAATACTGATAATGCAAGAATAAGTAGCATTTTTTTTCACCAGGGTATTAAGAAATGTTTATTTATTTATCATTCAGTCATCATTTTATTGCTTTACATTATATGTTTGAAAACTAAAAAGCATTTAGGCTATATATCATCTTACTAGGACATTGCGGCAGATATAGTGACCACTGATATTTATATGCATTTTATGAAAGTGGTCTGCTAAACTATTATAAAGATCTCACAATCAATTACAAGCATCAAAAATTAATCTTGTGTTCATATAAATATTGAATATTTTCGCTCAGTTTTGGACTACTAATAAAATCAAGGTGTTTCCTCCTCTGCCATAAAAGCCTGATGTATCAAATACGATACAGAACATGAAAACCATGCTGGCTGCAGAACACACACACAAAAGCAGGATCTTATGTTTGTTAACAGGGTGTATACATGGCATCGATAAGAAAACCACTGAACATTGTGACTTGGTCTTTATCCCAGATCCACGAGCTCCTTTGGAGTACGATATACACTTTATCGTCTGTCTCCAACTGCAGCGTTAAGCCGTTGCCTCCGTTCAAAGGATTAGCATTTGATTTACTGTGATGTTTTGTTACTGCTACTTGCTTTTCATTTTTATGCAAGATCAACACTGTTGGATTTCTAACACCACAATGGTAGAAGAAACTGAAATAGTAAATTCCTCGTACCGGGGCAGTGAATATCCCTGTAAAAGAGTGAGACAGATCTCCATTGAACAGCTGTAGACGTGAATTATAAAAGTATTGATATTGTTTTCAGCAGCGTGGATCAACGATACCTGTGGTTGGGTCGTAGGCTTCACCAACATTAATGATGACATTCTTGTAAACCAGTGTTCTGTCCACTTTAACTGGTCCACTGAAACCATTTAATCCCAATGAAGCTGAAAATGCCACCTTTGTTTTGTCTGAAGAGAGAACATATTGAAATGTAAAAAGAAATTTTACAAAATAATTACAAAGTAAATCATACAGCAATTGTTTTTCAGTGTATAATATTACAGCACATAGGTCTTCAAAAGCAGTGGTCTCACCTCTGGTTTCCAGAGCTCTGAGTCGTTCCTCTATGGCTGCAAGTTTGCATGTTTCTTCAGAGATGACCGGTTCGAATATAAGACATATGCACAAAAGCAGAACTGCTATTGTTAACCTCATTCTTAAAGCTTGAGCCAATCGTGTCAGAGATCTGTGCTGTATGTGAATGTATTTATCAGAATGTTGCAAATGGGGTGCTTTTATACTGTGATCTTCAGTAATTCACGCGTGATGGACAGTTTAGCCAATGCCAGACAAAATACCGCATATGACATATGTTTCTCAGAAAATACTGTTGCACTATATCTGTGCTAGCTCAATGTTTTACGAATTGATGCAATATTGACAGATCAAAGCGGTTCGTGTTTTCCTTGGCAGCTTTAATCTGGACATTACACTTAACTTTGGACGTTCAGTTTTTCTCGATTGCTTAAACTATAAAGGTATATTTGGTGCAAATCAACTGAGCGCATGTGTCGTTGTAGAGAATAGACACAGTAAATTTAAAGTCACAGAGAGAAATGATTTAAGAGTTTCTTGAAAACGTTTCTCATTTGTACTGCAAGCAAACTTATGGGTATACCAGTACTATTTTAATACTTGAAGCGAATTTTTAGTTTATGAAAGTACACTTTGAAGTATAATCTCAGTAAACTACTAATTTAGTTTTAACAGCATTTTCAAATTGTATTAGGCCTATTAATTATGTGTATTCAGTTTTCATGGCCTCATTAATTGAGAGACTGTGCTTTATATAAATTAATTCATTACACTGCAGGCTTTTTTAAGTGATCAAAACATGCACTTATATGCAAAAATATGATTTGCATACGTTCTTACAGCTGCCTCATCTCTTATCACACATCTCTCCAATCATAACTGTAATGTATTCATCTTTAATCTAATCCAGTCTGCCGGGTTTCAGATCTAACGGTCCAGGACGGGATGCAGAGAGAGCGTTCCCCGAGTCCGGCCATGTTCTGAATCCGAGGAGCTGAAAGGGGTTTTGTGGAACGCTGTGCGACTGTTGGAGGCGAGATACGGGGTCCACATTTATAGTCCGCTCACACACATCATTCCATTTTTAATAGGATTCTGAATGCATTTGGTTTCAGGGGATATTTCTTTTTGCATTTTCAAGTTTGCTAATCGCATCCGTCTATGACATGCTGGGAGAAATGGCACAGACGTCGACACATAAAGCTGGGAACGCGCTTCAATAGGGCTGAAATCCGAATCACATTATACGCTGCCGATGCCCGAGTGCTGATTTAAAGGACTGTTCCTCAGCCGCATTAAGATTCACAGCTCGTGCCGTAAATCTGACGGTGATGACAAAGGAAATATGGGAATGACCTTTGCTTTGCATATTTGAATGGCAGTTCATGCACTGAAACTCTTCTTTGGCTCATCATGACCCGTGAGGAAGAGTTCCCAACACTGTTCATACTTCATCCTTCCCACAATGCTTCACTCCTGGTTATGTTCCCCAGGCGCTCTTTCTTGGCTTGGCCGTCTTCCATTAGCGCTCGCTGTCATCAGAAGAGCTGAGAAACACACACACACACACACACACACACACACACACACACACACACACACTCCAGTCTTCAGTGTCACATGATCCTTCAGAAATCACTCTAATATGAGGATCTGATGATCAACACACAGTTATGATTATTGTCAGTGTTGAACACAGCTCATATTTCTGTGGAAACATTTTATTTTTCAGGATTCTTTAAGGAATATAAAGTGGAAATAAATTTGAAATAAATGCGCAGGGTTGATTTACAGCTGGAAGTTTTTCAGAGATGTTGAGCATCGTTCGTCTCTCCGACACGAGGGATTCGTGAACCGGCCTCTCAGAAAACATGCGATCCCAGGTGTGTGTGTGTGTGTGTGTGTGAGAGTCTCAGGGGTGTGTCAAATCTTCCTCTTGAATGCTGAGCTAAATAACAGAAAGATCAAAGCCCATCAATCCTCTGTTGTGTGTGAAAAGAAGAACATCAGTGTGTGTGTGTGTGTGTGTGTGTGTGTGTGTGTGTGTGTGTGTGTGTGTGTGTGAAAAGAAGAACATCAGTGTGCGGAAGTTTCAAACAGATTAAATCTCACGAGGGACCAGCAGATCCTTTCCAGGAGACAATAAAGATGAAGAATTCTTCTCTGAACCTCTTTTTCCAACCCTGCAGTGTTTCATAGAGAGATGAAGGAGAGAGAGGAACGAAGAAGAGTGGAAAGAAGTGATGAACGAAGTGAAGAAGAAGAAGTTGCTGAAGTGCAAGTGGAAGAGGAAGTGAAGAAGTGGAAGAAGAAGTGGAAGTTGCTGAAGTGGAAGTGGAAGAAGAAGTGGAAGTTGCTGAAGTGGAAGAGGAAGTGGAAGTGAAGAAGTGGAAGAAGAAGTGGAAGTTGCTGAAGAGGAAGTGGAAGTGAAGAAGTGGAAGAAGAAGTGGAAGTTGCTGAAGTGGAAGTGAAGAAGTGGAAGAAGAAGTGGAAGTTGCTGAAGTGGAAGTGAAGAAGTGGAAGAGGAAGTGGATGAGGAGGAAGAGGAAGTCGCTGTGGAAGAGGAAGTCGCTGAAATGCAAGAGGAAGTGGAAGTGAAGAAGTGAAAGAAGAAGTGGAAGTTGCTGAAGTGGAAGAGGAAGTGGATGAGGAGGAAGAGGAAGTTGCTGTGGAAGAGGAAGTCGCTGAAATGCAAGAGGAAGTGAAAGTGAAGAAGAAGCGGATCATTTCCAGGAGACAATAAGATGAAGAATTCTTCTCTGAACCCCTTTTTCCAACCCAAAGAAGAGTGGAATGAAGGAGAGAGGAACGAAGAAGTGGAAGTTGCTGAAGTGCAAGTGGAAGAGGAAGTGGAAGTGCATTTCGAGTTCATAAAAACGTTACAGGCCGACTGGTGCTCGAATGTCAGTGTGTGGACCTGCTTTTGCTTTGTTTTCAGTTTCAGTGTGTGTGTGTGTGTGTGAACCATTTTTGAGAAACACATGCTTCAAATTCCTAAAAATTGGGGGCGTGGCCGCTGCTTTATTTGGTACTTCCTAATTTTAATGTAATTTTAGTTTCTTTTGTAATGAGCATCACCGGAGAAAGACGCGTTTATCCTCATCATCAGGACTGAGGAGTAACGGCACTGGAGCGGAAAACCTTCCCATCCTCCCAAAGCTTTGAACTGCGGGAAACAATCCCGGGTTCAGACATTCTCTCTGAGCTTCACTGGCGCTCCGACAGACACACACTTACACTATTAAACATTTCATGCTCTTCCTTCACCGTTCCTGACAGATCTGAGAGAGAACGAGGGCCGGATGTGGAGATCAAACCGAGTCGCATGTTATCCGTCAGGATTCACAGAACCAGAGTTTCAGAGCGCTACACATCCGTCATCCAGATCTGGGTGAGCAGAATCAGACGAAATGATTAAATATGGATTAATAATCAGAAAGCACACACACAGAGGATGAATGTGACTCTAAATATGCATCAAAGAGCAGTGTTGGTGAATATTAATGAACGACAAGCCTTCGGCTCTTCAAACTTGACAAAAAAGCCCCACAACAAATCAAACACACACACAAATACTATATTTTCCCAATTAATAATTTTTGCATGGCGTAAGAAAACAGACTCTTTATCATTCAGCACAGCATACGCAGAATATCAATGAGTTGCTCTGGGGATTTTAACATTCAAAAAGTGGAACCAATAAACTTCAGCGAACATGAAGTCAAGCTGGCATTCGTCTCACACACACACACACACACACACGGTTAGTGCAGGACGCCACAGCGTTAGAGACATGTTCAGTCATGTTAGTCTCTAAACACTTGGATGTTAGAGATTGTAAACCGGGCCGTGTTCCAGAGGGAATTAAACTGAACATTTGGAGAATTAATGAAGTTTATAAAACGGTGAGTTCCAATCCTTGATTGTGATTGGTCAATAGCTGTGCTGTATTGATGATTAAACACGACCGCTTCACCCGACGGCTCTACAGTATGTATCACTGCGGTTGGTGTTTATATTTGAGCTTTCATGCGTTGTTACTGTTCATGGTCAGGGACTATTTTTCCTTGCGGAAGGATCAAGCATCTGTTTGCACTCGCTGCGTTCTGAACTCAGCCCAAATAGAATCTAGCTCTATTTATACTCTACACTATGATCGTGTAAAGAGCGCCTGCCTTAATTACGCTGAACATCACTGGCCTCCTGAAATGTGAGAGCTTCTGAAAGTCACCGGCCCCTTATACGCCTTCATACATGTTATCTGTCATGGCAATAATACATAATAAAGAAAGGAAGAAATCAGAGTTCTGAAACTAGAGCGAGTTCACAGGCGCCGGACGAGGGACGAGCTCAGTCTGATGAACAACGCCATTGGCTGATTCATGGCCAGGCTCGTCCTGATTGGCTGATTCATGGCCAGACTCGTCCTGATTGGCTGATTCGTGGCCAGGCTTGTCCTGATTGGCTGATTCAGAGTCAGGCTCATGCTGATTGGCTGATTCATGGTCAGGCTCGTCCTGATTTGCTGATTCATGGCCAGGCTCGTCCTGATTGGCTGATTCATGGCCAGGCTCGTTCTGATTGGCTGATTCATGGCCAGGCTCGTCCTGATTGGCTGATTCATGGCCAGGCTCAACCTGATTGGCTGATTCATGGCCAGGCTCGTCCTGATTGGCTGATTCATGGCCAGGCTCGTCCTGATTGGCTGATTCATGGCCAGGCTCGACCTGATTGGCTGATTCATGGCCAGGCTCGTCCTGATTGGCTGATTTATGGCTAGACTCGTCCTGATTGGCTGATTCAGAGCCAAATTCAGGCATTAGGAGGATTTTGAAAATAATTCTCAAGGGTCCAAATTACAGGGCATGAAAACAAACCTCTCTCTCTCACTCACACATACACACACTCTCTCACTCACTCACTCACACATACACACACACTCACACACTCTCTCTCTCTCTCTCACACACTCACACACCGAGCAATAGAAGAACCAGTGTAGGAGAATAGTTATTATGCACAGAAATTGTACAAGTATATTCGTGTGCGCATGTCAAAAATATATTCTGATTTGAAGTTTGTGACATGTAAACACACACATCAACCCGATCACATGTTCAGTGTTTATGTAAACACTACATTCAGATTCATCAGAAGGAAGTTCAGTGCGACTGACACAGAAGCTGTG